GCTGTTTCCAATATTTCACTGTAAAAATAAATTTTAGGAAGTTTTAACCAACTGTGGCAGGTTTTTGCTAAGACTTTCTACTGGAAGGCAGGGAAGAGACACAGATGGGTGAGGCTCTATACCCCCCCCTCATTGCAGTAAGGAGTTTCATGTGATGGGCAGCAGGCCTCACAATGCCAGCCTTATTTTCCTGCTAGCCAAGAGAAGAACTTAGGTACTAAGATAGCAATGGACCTTCCTCAGGTTTTTAAGGCATTCAGTGGGGATACTATGGGAGTAGGTGTCTTGCCTAGGGAGGCAGGTAAAGGGTAGGAAGAGGTGAATTGATTCCTCTCTGTACGTCAGAGGGTCCCCAGCCTTGCTGAGCTGTGGCCAGTGCCAGGGAAAGCCATCTTCTGCTGTAGCTGGATGCTCCTCACCACAAAGCAGAGGATCCCATTGAACTAAACAAGAAAAATAGCGATGTGACAAGAGAAGGAGTATGCACAGTAGTTCATGTCCTCATCTCCTGTTACAAAGAGTGTAAGTACTGTTTTGGTGCTCAATGGAGCCTCCTCAGAGAGGAGCAGGGAGAAAAATATGCAACTGAAGCACCTGTATTCCCCTCTGCTGGCTTCACATCTTCTGTTCTCAGGGCTGGGCACAATCCCAGGAAATGTGGCTTGAACTGCTCAATTTTGGGCTCTGTTATCTGCTATTGAAGAAGAATATTTTCAGGACATTTGTATTAGAGGAGCAGCATTACCCTCCTACTAATATTAGTTATACCCCTGGCTATCTGAGTTAAAAAAAACAACAAACCCAAGTTAATTTCCCAGATGGGTCCATGAGATCAGCATTTTACCATCAGCTCTTGTGGCTGTAGCCACTCAAGCATCAAAGACGTGGTGACACGAGGCAACCAGTATCCATCTCTTTTGGTACTGGCATTACCCAAACCAAAATTTGATCACTTGCATATTTGATGGGGGAAGACTCCTAAAGTCTTCTATTTCTTTTTGATACTGCAGTCAAAAAGTAATATGGATTTTGTTACATTTAACATCTGGTCCAAAAATGTGCATTTCCACTAAGGAAAACACAAACCAGAAAAGGCAGGCCAAAGCAAACACACACAAAATGTTACTGTTGTTTTTACATATTTTATCCAGATAGGATTTTTCATGTGTACAGAAACTGTATCTGATGTGCTGCAGTTGGGCCTAGATATGGAACTTGAAAAAATGAATTTCTTTTCACACGTATCATTTCGTTTTACTTTAGCCTCTGCAAGTCCTTTTCTACTTAACTGGCAGCGGACAACTCTCAGGTTGCATTTTCAGTGTATGATTTATATAGGTATAAAAATATGTGGGATAAGAAAGCTTTAACATTGTATTTCACATTTCATTTAACAAAGTAGCAGTAGTCAGAGAATTTTACTTGGCAAGATGATACTGGGGTGAGAATGGGCCTGTATGTGGAAAAGGGAATGAAGGAATGTTCCTACGATTAGTCTGAGGCAGCACAGTCCAGCGATGGGAATTTGCTCTGGGAGGTAGATCTTGCTGTAAACCATTCAAGATTAGATACGAGGCACTGACATATGACAAATGAAACTGCTGAGAGCGTGGGTCATACGAGCTAATGATTTTCAATCTTGGATCAGGCACCTAGCTTAGCGTAGGGTGTTAGACTTGAGTAAGTACCTTTAAGACTCAGGGTCAAGGCTTTGATGGGAATTTTGCTGAGGAAGACTGAGGTGAAGGGACACTCAGGAAGAAAAAGGTTAGTCGCTCTTCATTCACAGCTTTGAGTGAACAGGGCCAAATCCTGCTGCCTTTGCCAGGTCCAGTGGCACCTTGATGGCAAATGGGAAGCTGCATGCCAGGCAGACAGACATACCTCTGGGAAAGCTGGAGCATGCTGGCTTCTCAGCAAAGAGGAATGCTCTGCAGCATCTGGGTGGAGAGAGGGAAAAAATAATCTTGCTTAGAATCTGCTTAGTTTGGGCCTTGTATTCCCTGACCTTCAAGATTTTGGGCACAATTCTATACCCACAGCTGACTGTGGGCACACAAATTATAGCATTCAGGAATTTAACTACCTGATGATTGGGCCTGCACTCAGTGTTGTAACCCCAAGCATTCCACATTCATGAGAGAAGCCTCCAAAAAAATAAAAAAAACCTGCAAGATTGGCTTCACGATCATGAATTAATACTTTTTGAAACCTCTCCATTTTTGAGCCTGTGTGGCTTGCATTTGCAAGTTCTTCCACCATCATAAACAGTGGGAACCTTTGAAATACAGCAAAATGTAAAGCAAAATGACTCATGAAACTGGGTCTTCCGAAAGACAAAAAAAAAATAATAATAAAAAAAATCAAGACTTAAGATAAAGTTGCTGAAGATTGCATTACAGGGGTGCCAGGCAGTGTAGTACATAAATGATAACACCTCAACCATACACACAGGCAAACATATATACACACACACATACATTTATGAGTATACATTTGTAAGGCTATCATCTAGGACATCAGAATGAGTGATATCTTTGCCTTTTGGGAGCAATGAAATTTCCTGTTGTAGCAGGGAAGCACATCAGTGACAGAGATGGAAGCTTTCTGGAACAGTGTCCAGGGTGTTGAGCCCCCACAAGCATAAGGAGCCTCAACAAGATTCACCTCCTCCCACTCTGAGCAGGTTACTGACTTCACCTTTTCAACAACAACAAAAAGACATCACAAAAACATGCAGAACCTGACAAAATCCATACTAAACAACAAGTCCACTCTTCACCAAGATTTACTACTTAGGGAGAAGAGGAGCAAATCATCCCCTTGGTAATGGTTTCCTGGAAGTCCTTAGATCCTATGGTGCTTTGGGGTGAAGGTGTAGGCAAGGTTGCCTCCATCCTCCTTTTGTCATGCCTTTTGCTGCAGTGTTTGTGGCTGCAACTGCACATTGATCAGTGGCTGAAAGAGAGAGCTGTAGAAACAGGCTAGTAAAAAAAATAATTCAGCAATATCAAGCAAAATATAAGCATTTTATATGTCTATACACATGTAAACATACGTGTGTGTATATATATATGCATGCACACCTAAATGTTAATATTTTAACTCAGATTTGTGGAACAGGATTGAAGTCTTGCTTGGGAGCCTTTGAAAAAAAAAGCTCCTTCTGCACAGGCATGAAGTAGAGAATCCTGAAAGACCCTGGAGCATTTCATAAGGCATCCCTCTACTCACTGCTACTGAAGTGCAGCCACCATAGCAGAAGGCATCAAGTTTTGCAGCTTCTTGTTTTTCTGTAGTGAGGATAGGAAAATGAAACAGTTTGCTGGACAGTAGTGACCTTTCCACTGTCCACAAAAAGCTGCTCATCCCGGCCTTGCTGATTTTGTTGTTAGAGTACTTGTAGCTATAGTAGCTTCTTCACTAATCCAGTAAACCTTCCTGGAAATCCCCTTTTCTGCCTCCAAACCTTGACATATGAAAAGCCAGTGGTTCCAGAAAGTCTAAGGTATTTTTGAATAGGATGCTCAGCTGTCGTGTACTTCCTACCGTATGTTGGCAAGGGAGAATCAAAACAAAATATTCTCTTTAATATTGAAACCCCAGAAATTTGGAAAAAAACAAAACATACAATTTAAGTGAAACTCAAACAACCCAGGAGGGTGCCCTCTATTTGCAGGGATAACCAGAACTGCACAGCTCTTATTTTAGGGCCAGTTTCTTAAGCAGTAAGCGTTTTTTACTTCCCTTCTACCTCATTATGCCATTGTACTCAGATTTCGGCCCTTTTATCCTTTGCCCATTTCAGTCATGTTCTGGGATCTGCAATGAAACCACTACAGAAGATGATCCGCAGGATCAGTAATGCTTGAAGACAAGCTCAGGAGCTCATATTTCTTTGTTAGGATCACACCGCGAAGGGAAAAGATCAGTTTGCTGTGTTCTTAGGCCCTGATTTTCATAAGCTAATGGTGACTGTGGGTGTAACTGTGGTCAGGCTTAAGTGGTAGAGCGAGGGCAGAAAAACAGAGGCACTTTCGTGAGACCGGTTTCCCCTCTGCCGCACGCATGGAGAGGGTGGGCATCTGCTTCCCCCTGGGCATACACCCGTGCCTGGTGACAGAGGGACGTGCTGTCCACGGCACAGTTTAGCTGTAGTGCAGGTGGAAGGTTGGGAGCCAAGCGTGAGCCTGAGTGCCCTTCGGTTTGTTTCCCTTTTAGGGACCACCTGATGCTGGATTAACCTCCTCCAGGTTACCTTTCACAGCAATAATAAATACTCCCACTTCTCTTTGGCTCACAACTTAGCAAGACCTTCAGTGGATTTTATTTTGTCTAAAGTGGGGCAGTGGTTGCCCTGGTGCAAAAACATACTTGTGGCTGAACCTTTGCCTGATATTTGGGCTAGATACTGCAAGGAGTGCTGCTTTGAAAGGAGGTGGTGTGCTCTGTAGAATAGTTACTAGGTATGCAGGTATTACCACTGCCAATATAGGCAAAACTTTTAATTATGCAGTTAACGTGGAAGCCTGTTCAGCCACATAGTATATATTGTTCTGACATTAAAGCTGGTTAAAATTTTTTAAACATTCTTGAAGCAATGAATATTAAATATTCTTAATCTTAAAACACTTTTTTTTCCTCTGCTTTCAAAATGAAAACAGTTTGAAAAAGATTTTTTAAGTCACTGGAGTCCCATTAATTACTTTGGCTCCAAAGACATGTCTTCTGAAATTTAATTTAATTTTCCCCAATGTTTAGATACAGAATGCATTTTTTTTCCAATAAAATGACACAACGCTGTGTTTCTGACCAACTGCCATATAAAACAAAATGTGTTACAAGCATTATTCTGGGAGGGGAGAAGATTTATGAGCATGCATGTAAAAAATTTCAACCAGCAGTAATGAATATTCCTATGAACTACACACACTGAGATTTAGGCAAGCTTGCATTAGCATTTTCCTGCAGTAACCATACGCAAATATCTGCACATATAGGTTCTCGAAGAGAGGATGAAATTGGAGTGCAAGTGCCATGGAGTTTCAGGTTCCTGCACAACCAAGACCTGCTGGACCACACTTCCTAAATTCAGAGAGATTGGATATATTTTGAAAGAGAAATACAACGCTGCAGTGCAGGTGGAGGTGGTACGAGCCAGTAGACTAAGACAGCCAACCTTCCTGAAGATCAAGCAGATTAAGAGTTACCAGAAACCCATGGAAACAGATTTAGTGTATATCGAAAAGTCACCCAACTACTGTGAGGAAGATGCTTCCACGGGAAGCGTCGGCACCCAGGGACGCCTCTGCAACCGCACCTCTCCCAACGCGGACGGGTGCGACATGATGTGCTGCGGCAGAGGGTACAACACACACCAGTACACCAAGGTGTGGCAATGTAATTGCAAATTCCACTGGTGCTGCTTTGTGAAGTGCAACACGTGTAGTGAGCGGACAGAGGTGTTCACCTGCAAATAACAGCATCACGTGCAAATGAACAGAACAAATCACCACGAGTGAAGAAAGTGGAGTACAACAAACGACGACAGCATCATTTTGCACATCTAATCTTCTTTGGGAAAAAACCAACAAACACAACAAATCCTGACCAATGCCACAACAACCAATCCCTCCCCACTACTTACACTTCTAAGGATGGTGCATTTTGGCTGGCTGGCTGTTGTAACTGCTTTGGAAACAAGGGCAACAGGATTAAGGTGATGTTGACAACCACATGGTACTTTCTCTCTCTCTCTTTTTTTTTTTTTTTTCCTAAAACTACAATCTGGGTGTTGTAGAGTCCTCCTAGTAAGTGTTTTAAGTTATACATATCACAGAATCTGATTGCATTGCAGCTCCCATGAAATTAAAAAAAAAAAAAAAAAGACACTTTCTCACATTTTACAACAACTAAACCACCGAGATGTGTGCAAATAAAGACTTTTTTTTTTTTTAAGGATATGAAATCTTCACTGACTAGAACACAGCAGTCTTGCTGCAAAAACCTACATTTCCAAGAAAGCAGGTAGAGAGAAAACAACTGGTAGGAAGACAAAATCTGTCGCGGAAATACTCCACTATCAGTTTGGAAAAAAAATAACATTCACAAAATTACATCAGCTGCCAGTGACACTGGAACTCTTTGAATGAACATTTAAAAGAATTATTTATGTTTTTAATAGTATCAAAAAATTCTAAGCACTAACGGGTAGCTATGTCTTAATTCTGTACTAAATGTAAACTTATTGGAACTCTGACTTTATGATTTTTGTATTTGGTTATCCCTAAGTTCTTCAATGCTACTGATCTGTTGTCACTCCACTAGTAGAGTTCAATTACTGTAGACCTTAAGCAATTACCAGAAGTGAGCAAAAAAGATCACGCAAAACTGTGGTTACAAATGCTTGATAAAGACTTTTCTCGCTTGCCTCCTGAATAAGAATGACTCCTTAGACTCAGGCTTTAGGCACAGAGGACCTGCCCTCAGCTCCTCGTAGGGAGTTTTAGGATTCAAAGACATACAAAGACATGTCGAATATCAAAGTTTTTGTTTTGCTGTCAAATGCACTGGCAGGCCCTTCCAAGCTATGCATTTTGCCTTTAACAGTTGAAAGTTAATATTACCAATAGTTTTAAATAACTTCTGCTCAGTATCAACTGAGAAATTAATAAAAACATGGTAGCTGAGCTCTAGGTTGCTTCAACCTGTGAGTTGTGGTGGCTTCATGAGCGTGAGAAAGCTAAAATTTGGATTGGTCTGCTTTGTCATTATTCAAAAGTTAGCAATAACATACTCTCTGGTAAATAGATGAATGTTAAGAAAGAAGCTGACTTTTTACACCAGCACTCATTTATAATTCACACACTTTTACGTATGAGAGATTTTTTAAAAAATCCTCAGATAGTACTACTGTAAAATCTAGTGTTTTTAACCCCAGGAGCCAGATATGCCCACTATAACACAGCACATTTAATCACAAAAAGGTTTGCTTGTTGCAAGGGTCCTTACCTGATTTTCTGGAAACCTGGATTAAAAATTTCTTAATATCTGCCTATCTGCATTTTCAGCTTTTGTTTAATTTTGCTACTTTTATTGAAGGGCTGCACAGCCATCAGCCCATCTCATCTGATGTGGGACCACTTGTCATGTCACAAAGTGCTCTTGGGGCAGGGGACTGGTAGAGCTACTGCCCTGCCAGCTCCCATGCTGGATAGGTGAGTGAGCCAGGATTACCTCCATAATTTATGGACTTGTACTATCAAAAGTAACTCATCACCTGGAGAACTTTGTTTGTACATTCACAAAGACCTGTCTTTCTGACCCCAAGCACTTATCCTCTGAAAATAAGACCCCTTTGACGAGTCTCTCATGGAGCCATCAAAAATTGAAGAGCTCCTTTATGTTGCTGTTGGTTTCTAAATACCGGTCTTGGTGTGAATGGGTGCAACTTCACAGAAGTTGTCAGGGGCCCCCAAAAAACGCTAGAGTGACTTCATATAATTTCAAGTCACTTTGATTCATGGGTATTGTTGTTGAATAATGGTGATATACTGTACTTTCACTACATTCTTGACAGGAAGCAAATAAAGCTCCCAAGCACAGTAATGCACAGTCTTATGATACTAGATACTGTAAATATATTAGAATAGTATTTGTTAAGTACAATTGAGGAATCCAACTAAGTTATATAATTGTATATCGTTTAAATGTCTATAGAGTATTTTAAATTATTGTGAACTACACTGCGTTGAAAAAGAAAAAAAGGTTATATATTATAACACCAACCACTCTGAAAAGTGGACCAAAGTGACACTTTCTCTTTTTTTTTTTTTTTTTTTTTTTACATACCCCTATTTCAAATAACTCTGCCAGCTACTGTAATACCATTGTAACAGTCCTATGGTTGGATCAGCTATCTAATGTTTCAGAGCGTCCTGTAAAAGCTTCACTCATGTGGGGGTGCAGCATTCAGAAAGGTACTGTATAGCACAAAGCAGGGGCTGACCACAAAAATGCATGGACTTTGTACTATGTCACTAGAAAAAGCAGTTTTGGTCAGAAAATACCACTACCGTTAATGTACTGAAACATTCCCCCCCAAAATGGTGACCTTTTAGCGAAGTTGTCGACAAACTAAAGTGGGTTAGAGACAGCTTTTATTTTTAAAAATGTAGTTTGATGTCAAAGAACTGTGACAATAGTGGTTTGAAATCGACCAGGAACACAACATGGTTTAACCATGCCTTAGCCATGACAGAACACAAAATATTGTATGTTACTAAAGAATTTAAGAGCAAAGATCAATTTGTTTACTATGTTAATGTTTTATGGCAAGAAGAAAACAAAAGATGATATGTGTTTCCATTAAAACTTATTTTTTCCCCTTCTAGTTCCCTTTCTTTTTGTTTATTATTATTTTAGGGAAAAAAGAAAAAAAAAAAATTAAAAAAAGAAAGAAGGCAACAAGGCCTTATGCAAAGACTAGTTGTGTCCAGGCTTCTCTGGGTGAGAAATGATAGGCAGGTTCCAAGTCCAAAGCAGTTTTTGTGTTTTGTGAGAAACAGCAATGAATGTCCCTGTGTTTGGTATCACAGTCCCAAGCCATCTGCCTACCCCAGCAGCACAGAGAAACCAGCACAATCACCAGCCTTGCTACTACCAGAGGCTTCAATTGGCTGAAATGAGATGGAAATAAATGTTTTGTCATAGAAATGTGGCTTCTGATTTCAGAGTTATTCTTGCCCATGAACCCTACCTAACTGACTAGGGAAAAGAGAGGAATAAGAGGTGTAGAGTCTTGAAGGCTGTGGCTTCAGCTCTTGCACATGCTGCAGCTTATTCAAGTAAGTTATGGACACAGCTGAAAACCCTACCTGAATCTGGACCTAAAAGATTTCACAGAATTTGCCTTTGTCAGAATAGTAGTAGCCACCTTGATAGTGAGGATAGTGTCTTCCTATGTGAAATCTAAAGAAAATGTACAACCTTTGTTGTATTTGCCTCTCAGGGAAGATATCCAGCTATAGATAAAGGTATAGCCAAATTCTACAGGAACTAAGTCCAAAATAACTTCATTAAAAGGAACTGAGTTGCCCTGGGTTTATTGCAGCATAAGTATGCACAGCATTTTGCCCACAGATGCCAAAGAAAACACTGCACCTTCTTCCTAATTACACCATGGGAAACCTGTGAACAGAGCTGCAGGAAGTTCTTATAGTAAATGACAATATTCTAGTACCTGAAGGTGCTACAGCAAAGCTGAGGAGGGACTTCTTACAGGGGCATGTAGGCATAGGACAAGGGGTAATGGTTTTAAACTGAAAAGGGTAGATTTAGCTTAGACATGAGGAAGAAATTCTTCACTGTGAGAGTGGTGAGATGATGGCACAGGTTGCCCAAGGAAGCTGTGGATGCCTCCTCCCTGGAAGTGTTCAAAGTCAGGTTGGATGGGGTCTGAGCAACCTGGTCAAGTGGGAGGTGTCCCTGCCCATGCAGGAGGGTTGGAACTAGATGATCTTCAAGGTACCTTCCAACCCAAACCATTCTATGATTCTGTGATTCTCTGAATGCAATATTAATGTCTACGATTATATTTGGCATTAGATGAAAATTATCAAAAGGTTTGCAAATCTTTTTACCTATCTGAAGTATGCTGTGAGTAGGTCACTTAAATTTTCAAATATATTTCCATGGATCTCTTTCTTATTTTAAGGTTAAAGCCCAAAAGTGATATGGAACAAAACAAACCGAGACTGTCCCTTACACCAGCTTTGCTATGCAAATAACGTGATATGCCTTTCACCATTGAAGGCACTACTGGCATTCAAGAGAAAATGCTTTCTATAAAGCTAGAGATAATTTGCATTTGTAACTATTTTCATAACTGAACTGAATGACTGCACATTTCCTTCCCAACCCTTCAGACCTTTTGTTGCAATGACAGTTCCCACAGCGAAGGTCGTACAGTAAGAGGTACAGTGAAGACCCAACATTCTTCTCTCTCTGTGTGACAGCCACAATGAGACGTGGGTTATACACAACCGAAACTATGTTGAAGGGAAAAAGATCAAAATGGAAAGGCAAGGGGAGATGTAACCAATTTTAGTTTGTGGTACCGATACCATAAGAAACCTCCTGCGTGCGAAACAAACCGCATTGTAGGCTGAACTTCCCCCACAAACTTTTTTCCCCTCAAATCCAAAGTCCTCGTCTGCAATTCTGCACGTTCAAACTCCTTCATTGGAGAACAAGCCTGCCCAAAGGCTGGCAAGTATCTTCCTGTTGGTCTTTGAGCTGCTATTAGGAAATTCTAGGGGATCATTTTCTGACAGGGGAGATGCAGTTGCAAATTTAAAATTTGCAACTAATTTTTAAAAAATGACCTAGGATTTTTTTTGCCTGCACATTCCTTCCTAGTAGCACAGATATATGTACTTTAAAAGATTTGTTTGCTGAAGGAAAAATATGGTTGTTTTGACATAGCAGATGGTTGTTGTTTGCAATGTGTTCCACAGAGTGCTGAGGCAGAGGAAATAATAGTGCTGTAAATTCAAAATCTTCAGTCATGCTGTTTTTTTTCTGAAATACACTATTACCTGCTTGGAGGCCCTAGTGCAATTCTATTTTATAGAATGGTCCTTTCTGTAAGATGGTATTATTAAAGTCCAAAAAATATGGGAATAAGCAAATTACTTTGGTTACAGGTCCACTCATTCTCCCTGCAAACAGAC